ACCCAAAATGGTCCCAAAATGCACGAGCGCTCCCGGGGCTCTCCCTGGGATCAGTTCTGCTCCATTGGCACCTTGGAGTTCATTGTCCCATTCCAGCTTCAGCCCAGGCAGCCCCATCCTGCTTGTTTTTCTCTCTCCAGCCCACAGTGTTTGTGCTCCTGGGCTGAGATTTGGATCATTTGTCCTTGGTGCCCAGCTGGAGCAGGAATTGTTTTGTGTCCCTGCTCTGTGCAGAGCTCAGCATCCCCACATGGGAAGCTCAGAAGTGCACACTAAAGCAGCACAGAATGGGAAAAATAGAAAAGCATCAAAGTAGCCCACCTTTTCTGGAAACAACTGAGTTGTTGTAACAGCAGAGGTACACAGAGGGCAATGAAAATCGAGGAGTGCCTGGAGGAAGCAGCTGCACTTCCTGCATAGAGCAAGAGATGGCAATATTTTCTTATGTTTTGGGAGAATTAGATGCAGTATCAAACTCTAAACCAATTGCAAATCTTATATTGACACTTCTTGGAACACAGCATAAAAGTTGGTTCTCAGAAACTTGGTGTGTGTATCACTTATGGATAAGTGTTAGTTTTAGGGGCAGACTAACCGTGTAAAAATGCCTTTTTTACATATTCAGTACTTGAATATAAAAACATCCCTGAGCCTTCCCCTGCTAAGGTCACTCACTGGTTTAATTACTGTGTGGCCTTTCAGCCCAGAAGATGATCTGATGTGAAAGTGTAGCAGGGCCAAGATGCTCCCTGAGGAGCATTGCTAATAGAAGAGATTTTACCTGCTTAGGAGAGATGCAGTACACAGGTCTGCGAGAGGTGAGGAGGCTAATTTAGCTACTTGCTGAAAAAGACTCCATAAATTCCCTGTGCAGAACTGCACATGTACTTGGCCTTTGCATGTGAGCACGATGGAGAAAATGAAAAGGCTGCTAAGCCCTGGGAGTGTCCAGAAAACACACGGCAAGCCAGGAGACCATGACTCCCTCCAGCACCCCCTGGGAGATGCCCAAGGGAGTTGCCATAATTTCTGCTGCCTTGTCCATAAAGCACACCAGCTGGGAGATCAATCTCACAGCCAGTGTTCCTCTGGTACTTCAGATTAACAAAAAGTGAGTTTCTCCTGTCTCTGACATGGAGGGCAGTAAATCATGCACGGGCCTGTAGCTGCTCCACTGCCAGCTTCCAGCACACCAGAAAGGATCCTGGGCTCTGGTTCCTAGATAAGAATATTCTTGTATTAACATACTGCTACTGGAAGAAAAAAAATATTTATAAATTTATATAATTTACAAATATATATATAAATGAATCCTTAGATGAAGGACATGGAATATATTCACTGCAGAATACATTTTGCACAAAATACAGTTTTATCTCTTCTATTTTATTTTCTCAAGCAATTCACATGCCAAGTCAAAACATGAAGTGAATTCTTGCTTTTTAATACCCAAATACTCCTGGCAAGAAAACACTGGTGAAATTGATAATAGGATGGATTCCCAAAAGACAAGAATAAGGAATCATTTGAGATTATGAACTGGTAAAAGTCACAAGAGAATAATGGCCTTATACTTTCTTTGGAATATTTTCCCATGCAGTTTTTCTTCCTTTGTTTTTCTGTCTTTCTTTTTAAATACCAGCTTCCAATTCTATCTCATTGTCGAAAATATTGCATCATACTTACTCTTCTAATATAGTTTCAGTAAAAAGTATAAACGCTGAAGACTAATGTTTGTATAAAGCTATCAATATTTCAAGTTCACAGAATGCTTTATCAGCATAAAATTAAGCTGTTCTTTCAGATCTCAAAGGTCTTTGCAAGAGTTTAAAAATACAACCCAGTGGTTAGGGTTCAGCACAACCCCTGCCTTCCCAGGCTCTGTTTTTGGGAGTGGGGGTTCTGCCCTAGCTGTTTGGACTGAAGTTATGTCTTAGGTTGCAAATGCAAGATGTGGCTGGGGTGTGTGTTCTATTTCCATCTGTCAGAGCTGGGGCAGTTCTCTGCTGTTCATTGGGCAGTTTTCTTTATTTGTCCCACAGCCAATCCTCCCTCCAGGAGTTCTTTTCTGTTCATGAGCCATTTATTATTAATTATCTTCTGTTTATGACAGAAAACAATGAGTGAGTGTCCCTGCATGGCTGATAAAATTCCATCATCCCATGGAGAGATGCTGTGCCCAGGGGAGGAGCCAAGCATTCCTACCTGGATCCAATCTGACCTGGGAACAGCACAACAGCCTTTGCCCCCTGCATTCCCAGAGGAGCAGCTTCCTTCCCCCTGCATTCCCAGAGGAGCAGCTTCCTTCCCCCTGCATTCCCAGAGGAGCCCAGGCCCATCTCCCCCAGTCCTGGAGCTCCAGAGGAAAACTCCCCCCTTGTGCAGGATCCTGCTCCAGCAGAAGCACAGCTGGCACTGCAGGAGGGCTGAGCCACCCTGGGATGGGACTGAGACACCTCCCTGCCCTGGGCTGCTCTGAATCTGGCAGTGGTTTGTTTTCTTTTTTTGTACTATTGCATTTGTATTTTTAATTTTCCTAGTAAAGAACTGTTATTTCTACTCCCATATCTTTGCCTGAGAGCCCCTTAATTTCAAAATTATAGTAATTCAGAGGGAGGGGGACTGCATCTTCCATTTCAAGGGACACTCCTGCCTTCCTCAGCAGACACCTGGTTTACAAACCAAGACAAGTGTTCAGGCTACAGCAGCCACACCAACTGTGCAAGGACAAGGACAATTTGGAGGGTTGCACTGGCTCGTGTTAAAGCCCCAGAGTTATGAACACACACTCTTCACTATTTCTTAGAAAATTAATGCAACATTACAGATGGTTGTCTGGCTGGCCTTTATTGTGTTTGGGAAAGAATAGGGTTTAATGCTTTAATAGGTCTCCAATATTCCCCTGTCATTTCCTTACTTTATTAGGCACTATTTCCTGCAAGGAGTCTCACAAATGAATTTGAGGAAAGCTAATGTGCTGCTCTAATGACAGATTGCTTTCAGGGCTGATCTCAAGGAACTTTCTTCCCCTCTCACTAATGAATCACAGTCATTCAATAGTGGCCTGTTGGATAGATATGGGAAGTGCTCTCTGCTTTAAAGCTTTCCCAACATGAGGAATGATCTCAGGGCCACAATATCATCAAACAAAAATAGGATATTGTTACAGAGGCTCTGATTAGTATTATTATAATGAAGCCAGGCATGATGTCCTTCAAAAAACAGAGAGAAAACATCAGCATGTATGCACTGTTTGCCTTTAATCAGAAACACACTGACAATGCTCGAAATGCCAATAGTTTTATAGATTGCTGTGCAGTTTAATACTTTTTTCTCTGCCTCTTTTTTTTCCCCTTAAGAGATAAAATCCACAGCAGCAGCATGACAGAAGAGGTATTAAATCAGTCAGTGAAGCCATGAAGAGAGAAACTCTGTCTTTCAGCAGTAACAACAGAAATTCAAAGTAGGTTTCATTAACAGAGAAAAGTGTCTGACTCCAACAGCAGCATTCTCTCTGCATCTCCTGTAAATCAAAATTAATCCATAAGATTGAGGATTTATAAGCCCTGGACCATATTTTCAAGTTCTTCCACACATTTCTGAAAAACCGACCCTTCATTATATCCCAGATTGTTTACCGATTTTGCAAAAACTAGAATTCAAAGAAAACTCATCAGAGTTCACTTATTTAATACTCACTGATTAATCTTCTAACCCCCTTTTGATTCTTATTCTGAAAAAAAAAACCTACCTACTCTTATATTTTTCTTCTGTAGGATTCAACATCATTTTTTTCTTTATATCAGATATTTTGTTTTCCAGATACAGCAGTCTATAGCTGTTATTAAAAATACTTTATTTTGAGCTGGCCACAACAGCATTTGTTGTATGAACTGTATCACTACAGAATTGCTGCTGCAATTTTTTATCTTTAACCAGGCAAGCTTCCACTGTGTTACAGGGTCATGGAATCATTTATGTTGGAAAAGATCAACAAGTCCAGCCCTTACACTCACAATTATTCTGGTGGCCTCTTTTTGAGAAAATAACTATGGCCAGATTGCTCTTACAGGTAATGGAGGCAAAAATAAATGTTAACAGAAATACTGGAATGTATGAATAACATTGATAAAAATGTGAAAATGTTTTCTTGATCAGTTCAGGCAGAAGCAGCTTTAATTGGTGTAAGGATATAAAAACTAACTTGGTAGAAAAAGTAGTTTTCCTGATGTTAATTGGGGAAAAAATGCCATCTTCTCCAGCTGCTGTTGACACAGGCTGGACATCCTCTGCTGGCAGGACATGGGGAGAGATTGCTTTTGCATCAGTTGATTTTGTGCTTTTGGGGTATTTTGCACTTAGTAGTGTCTTCATCTCAGCTCATGAGGTTTTCCTCACTTTTGTCCATGCTATTCTCTCCCCACCCCACTGGGTGGGTCTGAGCTGCTGGCTGGGGTCAGCCTACTCCAACACATTTCAGATCTGCTACAGCAGAGGAGTAGGAGCCACTCCAACTAAAAATCCCTTTAGACTCACTAGATATTTCTTCTGAATTGGACCTAGTGATTGTTATTTTATTTTATTCTATTTTACTCTTTTAGTCCTAAAGCAGCGGGCTGCATTTGCAAAGTCCTAAATTCCATGTGATTACCTGTCCATGTATCATATCACAAGCTGCCAGGCAAAATGAAGGTGGTGTTCAAATGACTTTTTTTCACCCTGGGGGTCTGAAGTTATTTTGAAATGTGAACTATGTAATTCTATATACCAGTATTTTCTTTAATTTCTGTCATTGTATGGCAATAAAGAATGCTTTCTATGGTGGAGACAGACTCTTCTAGTGCAGTATAAAATATTGTCCCTTTAAAAATAACAACTGGGAATAGCAAGGAAAAATAGCAAGGGGCTGTGTTTTGGTTTTTTTACTGTAGTGATATGATATGGTACGGGGCAGGGATCACATGTAACTAAATGATATAGGGAACAGAGTTAATGACAAATATTTCCTTTCTCTCCTTGTCTGAACAGATAGCCACTAAGTGGTAATTCTGAAAATCCAAGACACTGAAAACCTGTGACCTTCTGGGGAAGACTCAAACAAGAAACTTTTTAGGACTGACTGTCTTTTCAAGTTTGCTCATTCCATCAAAAAAGGTATCTCCTTCCAGTTCTTTAACACACTGACTATTTTTCTCTTGTGAACAGAATTTTTTACAGTAGGAAAGAGCAGGGATGGTTATTCATTTGAGGGTGAACTGGGAAAATTCAGAGGTATTCCAGAACTGGGATTGAGAAATTTCCTTGTCCATTGAAAGAGAAAATAACCACTCCTAACGTTGTAAAATTCTGAGGCAGAGCAAAAACAGCAAATACCCATTTTATACCTAGAAAATAGACTTTTACCTTCTTTAATTTACTCTCCAAAGGACAGAGGAAAGAGAGTGAGTTTGCCTGGGGAGCATACCCTGTGGCTGAGGACACTCAAAGAGAATTCCACATTACCATTCATTTTTGTCCCTGAGACTGCAGTGAGGATCAAAACCTGGTGACAGAGGATTCAGAAATGCAGAACCCAGAATGAGTTTTTGCCTAAAAAATCCAGCTGAACAAGTAGAATCTTTAGCTGAGTTAGTGTTGCTTTTGTGCTACACAAATTTGCTGTTGACCTCTTTGGTGTCACAGGCAGTGAAAGGACAACAGCCGCACTCAGGACACAAGCGAGAAGGGAAAACTAAAATTGTGATGCTGGTGAAGAAGTGCTTGCAGTGGACATTGCAGGTAAAAAAGAAAATCTCAAATAAAATATTTAGTTAAAAGAACAAAAAAGAAAAAAATGTTTCAGTTAACTCTATGTGTGTGAAGTTGCATATAGATTGTTTTTCTCACCTATAGTATTTTGTTATGGATCCAAAAGAAGATTGTTTCCAAATAAATGCTTAAAACTTTCTGTGGAAACCCTTTACCTTGATTTTTTATTTTCTTAAAAATCAATAACTCTATTAGAAAAAAAAAATCTCTATTAGAAAAGAAATTAGCATTGGATAAACACAGTTTATTTTTGTATCTTAATAGGATCTCTTTGGACTAACAATGAGTAGTTTATGTACAGATATTACTTGAAAATGTTTGTGAAAAGTTGAAGGGAATACGCTTATAATGCCAGAATTCCACATCATCCAGAGCAATGATGTGCCTAATTTGAAAGCATAATTAATGTCAATGTATGTACAAGTTGTACTGGTTGCTGCCTAACTGACCATTACTTTTACAAATTTTTAATCTATGTACACAACTGCAGTAATTGCACAGGTTAATTAAATGCTATTGAAAATCAGATTTGGTGTAAAGGTTAGTTATATTAAATAAATATCAGGCTACTTAGGAATTATTAATTGATCAGTATTGAATACAAGATGATATACATTTCAGAATAGGCTTCGGATGAATTTTTATGATACTACTGTTAATCATTTTTATTGCATTCTTGATAGAACTGGGAGTATGTAAAGATTGATTGCTCTAAATGCCTTTGAAATAATTGGCAGAAGAAGAAGAAAGCTCCCCAGGCCAGTGGGCCCAGCACCAAGGCTGAGCTCAGGAAGAGCCTGGGCTATGCCTGGACTCCAATTCAGCATCTTCTGGGGTTCTGTGACTGTTGGAATCATGGACCCATTTTATAAGCTGATTGTTGGAATCTGAAATGCAGGGAGCTCTCAGAACTTTGGGCCTGTGAGCCAAAGCTTAGAATTAAACCCAGGATTTGATCTGAGACCTTGCAAAACGCTCCCAAACTGAGGTGCTAGAAGCGAGAGTGTGGATTTGTAGTTTAAAGCAGAAACATGTCAAGCTAAGTAAAATTTAGAGTTTTAGAGCTTAAGATACAGAAAAAATAAAAGTAGTTGCAAAGGTAACAAGGAGTTTAGAATGCAGCACTGTAGGTTTGTGTGCCATAAGAGGATTGGCTACGAAAGCTTGCACTGTAGCATGGGTCCATAACACTAAATATTTAAGGATGGGGTCAGAAACATAAATATCCTTTTTGGCAGTCTTTATTAGTTAATAGATCTTTAAAAGGTCTTGTAATTAAGGGTCTGGTGGCCATCTGAGCCATGCAGTGAAGATGTGAGCCCAACTCACCCTTCCTGCCTATGTAGAACATAAGAAAAATAAATCCTATCATCAAAAACAATTCAGAGGTCTCGTCTCTATCTCATTCTTAACTCCTTCAAGAACCCCCAAAGCTGGTCAATTGAAAGAGGAATAACATGGAAACAAATATGTGAGGTTAACTAAAAGATTAGCAACAAATACAAAAATAAAAAGGAATTTCATGTTGAATTCACAATTATATTTTTAGATCATTAGTTATTAGATGGGTGGCAGTCCAGTAAATTCTGATTACTTAATAATATTTACATTACATTATATATTTAATTTTTAATTATAACCATCTCCAAATATCATTGCAGTTATTGAAAGTTTTAAAATTGAAGTTGTGCAATCAATGCCAGGACTTAGACACCACAGAAGTGGTGGCTCAGACGTCAACAACTTATTCCACACAATACCACTGAATTAATTACATTTAAGGCATGTGGACAGACAATAATGGAGAGGAAAGACCAGAAATTAAGTTCTTCATAAAAAGATAACTGAAGAATTATAGAGAATAATAGTTCTTTTTGGGTTTTGTTTGTCTGTCCTTATTAGTTTTAAATGTATAATAACCTGTTTTATGGAGTGAAGAGATTTCTGTCCAGCCTTGTTGTATTTTGTATTTTAACAGGCTCCTGAGAGTGGGACAATAATCAGGCTCTGTGACTACTTTAACAATTAAAACCTGCCATAAAAACAGGGGATGGACAGTCCTGTATTAAGCCAAGGACCTGAAGAGTGAGGTACTCTTCAGTGAGCAGCGTAACACTTTCTTTGTGGTGACTTCCTTGGTTTTCAGTGCCTTCCACCTTCAATCCCTTTTTTATGCACCAAAACAAGAATCTTGCTGCTTCTGTTGAAGTGCAGTGAGTGCTGCACACCTCACTTCTTCCTGTACCTTTGAAAATCTCCACCAAAAGTTGTATTTTAACTCTCCAAGCAATTTCTGCTTCACAGTGATTAGATCCACGCCTACTCAATTGATAACTTTTTTTTTCTTTTCCTCATTTTTTCTTCCAGTTCCTAAGCAATGTTCACTCCTACTTTGTCCATCCCTGGGTAGCTGCTGCCCTGTGGAAGCTCCTGAAAATCAACACCATTTATCTCGCTTGTGGAAATGACGAAGTTCAATAAGAGGTGATAATAAAAGGATGATTGTGTGGTAGTTATCACTCTGTAGGTATAACTAGTAACAGCAGGGATTCCTGACATATCAGCCTTGCTTCAAAAACTGCCAATGTCACTTCTTTTTTATGCTTTTGCTAGCAAAACTGAATCGATGGGCTAAAAATGTGTACGCTGACTTTAATGAGTGGCATGCTGCCTGGAGAATTAATAGATGGGAAAGAAGTTAAACAAACACATCTTTTGCAAAGCTGTCATGTTGGAAAGAACTGGGCTTTGCTGCTGCATCACAAATAATTTCAAAAGAGAGGGAAATCTAGAAAGGGAAAGTCAAGAAAAGGAAGAAAGAAAGGAAGCACTTTACAAAAAACCAGGAGGAAATCTCTCTCTTTAATTTTAGAATGTTGAAAAGTTTGCCTGGCATTGATGTGCTACAGACTATGAATGCAAACCCTATTTGGGACTACCCACTTCAAACAAAAACAACACTGCAATTGTCAAACTTCACATGTAATTTTTTAAATATGTGCAGGGAGTTTTTCTCTGTGTGGAGGGCAGACTGATACTGCAGGTACCAGAGGCACCTGTGCAGTGATTTTTCCACCCATTTGGGAGCAGAGATGATGTTTTTTGCATTTTGCATTTTTGCAGATTTTCTCCCTCCCCCAAAGAGCTTTGGAGTCTCCTTAATACTGTGCAGTGTTCAATTTTGAATTCTAGGTAATTCTAAAATAAATTAGACACAAATTCCTGTTCTGGTGTTTTCACAACTTGAGATTAAAGTCATTCTATTGGCATTAACAGTGGTTAACTGATCTAACAGTTAACAATTAACAGACTTGGTTACTTGAAAAATGTTTTGCTCCTTTTATATCTTGTTACAGCATAAGGAATGAAAGTTTAGGATTATCTAGGCTTTGATTATTGGGCTTTATCTTACACTTACCCAGGACTTTCTCTTAAAACATCCTACCTGAGCTACCTCAGCTATGGTTTAAAAATACAAATTCCGGAATTGAGAAAATCTTGGAGTCTGTGTGCTGAAGAAAAATGCAAAATTTTTATTTTGCCTGTATGTAATGCAAACTTGGATGATCATGGTGATTACCCATTTGAATCTACTAATCTGTGTAGTTAAATATTTTTTATTTTTCTTTTTGATAAGCATTTGGGAGGGGGGGGAAGCAGATTTAGGAAATTAATTCCTAATCCCTCTATTGTATTTAAAATCTCTTTCATTGCTTGTATGACATGATCACTATATGAATTTTTAAAGTACTGTGATTCAGTACAAACTACTGTCAAAGTACAGAGAAATTCCACCTTTTAATCTGCTTATGTGCGAGTTGTAAACATTTGGAAGTGTAAATATTGTGATATCTGATCCCCTTGCATTTGACATATCATTCTGTGTCAGACAGTTTTAGCTATAAATCAACTCAGGATTATAATGACAAAAAAAAAATTTGATTTAAAAGCTGCTTTCTTTACACTATAGAGAACTGACTGTTGTCCCTGAAAGAACTGAGTAAATCTGAGTCTTCTGACCTCCCTGTTTTTAAAGCCAATGTTTTAAAACAATGCTAACCTGGCATTATTGATATTTTTAGCAGAACATTTGATACTAGAATATCAAATTTTCTGCTAAAAGAAAAAAAATATGGGCTGGGAATTGCCACAGTTTATATTCTTTAAGCCCTTCAGACACATGAAGACCAAAATGGCTGAGCAGTTTTATGGAGAGTGCAAAAGAAAAAGTTTCCTTTGTTAGATATCCTCTCACTTGTCCCTTCTTCAGCAGTTTCCTAG